CATAAGAGTTATTATGTAAATGTATGGAGATCTAAAAGAAGACAAAACAGCAGTTTTACATATAAGTAACTAAATCTGGGTGCAATTAAATCACAGAAACATTTATTCAAGTGATTTGTTCTGATTCATTTAGCAATGAAAGTCTGCTGTGTTGTTTAAAAATGCAGTCAATACATGAAATCAAATACAAAATCACATTGTAAAACAACTGATAATGATGCTTAAAAAAATGAATCCAGTAATACTGGCAATTTAATGATAACCCTGCATATTTGCTGAAACAAATCCATAGTCCTCTTAGTCTAAGACAATATTTATTTAAATGGAAGGAGTGATTTCATGGATGTTGAGGCTCGGACACACTTTACCGATAGTCTGTTGTTGGTTTGTGTTTGTCAGGTTAGTTGGTTTAGTGCAGGGGTGTTTTCCTGGAGGGGTGGAGGCCTGCAGAGCCCTGCTTCAACACACCTATCTGTAGGTATTAAACTAGTTTAAAGCACTCAATTAGTTTAATCAAGTGCGTTTAATTAGGGTTGGAACTAAACTGTGCAGAGCTGCAGCCCTCCAGGAATTGACTTTGACACCTGTGGTTTACTGTGTTCACACGTTGCCTCTCACCAGGTTAATGTCAGAGCTAGGAGGCTTGATTAAACATTTAGAATTGACAAAACCCGATGGTGAAAGAGAGCACTCTGATTGGCCCGTTTAGCTATGAATCAATTAAAGCTCGAAAACTAAAAGTAAAGTGACAAAACTAAGCAAACACTGCAAGTCAATAGGGAACACAAAGAATCCAGGTGTCATTTCACAGCATTTCTTAAATATTAACAAATTACATTATTATCAGAGAAAGCATGTTGGTTAGCATTGTCACCTCTCAGCAAGGAGGTCGCTGGTCAGAGTCCTCGCTGGGCGAGTTCGTATTTGTGTGGATTTTGCATTTTCCCTCCGTGTTTGTGTGGCTTTCCTCCAGATGCTACGGTTTCCCCCATAGTCCAATGACATATGCTGGAATTGTTGGTGGTTCATTTCACTGTGGCGACCCCTGATAAGGGACAAAGCCAAAGGAAAATGAATAAACAAATAATTATCAGATTATGAGAGATAATTACAGGTAAATGTGTGTATGGTGAGCGAGAACTAAGCAAATTGTTTGTAAATGCTGCTTTGTTTACGGTTTGTATGTGAGCAGCACTAGTTTTGGTTTCCTTTTGTGAAATGACAACAAAGATACTGCTACCCGCTTTGTTTTCAGTTTGAATACGTGCAGCACTACACTAAAAAAAAAAAAAAAAAAAATCCGTAATTTTAGGGTAAACACCCCCCCCCCCAGTAAAATAACGCCTGTTAAATTACAGAAATATACCATAAAATACCAGATATTAAATTACAGAAATTTTCTTACATTTCAATTTCTGTAATTTAATATCCGGTATTTTATAGTACATTTCTGTAATCTAACAGGCGTTATTTTACGTTTTTTCCAGCACCCCAGCTGACTGAAATTAGTCGTAAAACTACGTATTTGTTTTACAGTATAGTTACGGTTTCCCTTTGTGGAATGACAATACACACTACTGCCACCCGCAGGGGAGAAAAGATACATCCTCTTACACAGAAACAGAATGTAACTCTCATCCGTTTAGTGTTCATGTGCAGCTTTTGGTCCAGACACAGTTGATTTTCATTGTCACCATTTTCTTTGACGTTGGCTTGGTGTGGCCTGGGGTTACAATGTTCATCATGAAACCACTTACCCCTATACATTTATTTATTTTTTTTGCATGCTTTATTTGAATGGAAATTTGCAGCGTGAGCATTCTTCAAAAGTTCTCCTTTTTCATTCTAGGTGGAAAAACGAAGCAATATAGGTGATCTATTCCTTTAAGAGCACCATTTTGCCCACTTTCTTTACCATCAGACTAAATACAGTACATGAGTCTCATGATATGAAACATCTGGGATCACAAACAAGCCACTCAACCACTGAATGAGTAATGTATGAAGGTTATACTGACCTTTGGCCTTCACATCTCATTTTAAAAAGAAACACACAGCCACTCGTCCGAACATGCCAATATCAGTTTGTGCTTTAAGGTTTATGTTTCTATCAAACAGTTACAGTAGTTCTGCATCTACATTGAAGGACATTGACAGACACTCAACCAATATTCATAATCACTTAAGGACATTTGTTGACTGATATTTGATTATAAGCACCATTCATACCAAAGAACCATTTTTATGTTACAATTATATCAGCTAGACCTATAAAACAACAATGAAATGTAACAGAGTGAGGTTATGTAGGAATCGTAGTGAGAGACTAGGAAGCCCAAATAGTTTGTGATCTATAAAAGCATGTTGTGCAATAAATGATGATTATGAGGATTACAAATACTGATGGGCATGTACAGTGACCCAAAAACATTCATGAATTAAAGGGATAGTTCACCAAAAAATGCCACCTCACCTTTTACTCACACTCAAATGGTAAACGTTAATTTTTATGTTAAACACAAAAGAAGATATTTTGAAGAATGTTGGAAAAAAGCAGCCATTGACATCCATAGTACAAAAAACAGTCAATGACTTTTTTTTCCCCCAGGATTCTCCAGTGTATCTAGAAGAATTATGACAAAAAGAAGTCACTTTATGTGGACTATCTCTTTAATTTAAACTTAAACTACACAAATATAATTGGATTACACGCAAAAAATATATCAGAAACACTTCAGAGTAAGGTTTCATTAATTAGTGCTAATATTAACATACAGTAAGCATTTTTTTAGGCATGACATCCTTTGTTAGTCACTTAATAAATATACAGCTGCTCCTTATGTTAGTTAATGAATTAGCAATTGGTAATTAAGCAATCTTTGATGCATGTGAAATTATTTTTGATCTATTTACAAATATTTTAAAGCGTCAGAGATTTGGGTACATAGACTTTCAACGGAGAAATAAGAAAACAATGAGTAAAAACATCTTGTGTTGTGTAAGGTTGTGTAAAGATGTGCAAAGAATGAATTCAACTTTCAAGATTATTAAATGTAGTATTCAACTTAATTATTGCTGTTAACTAATGTTAATAAAACCTTATTGTAAAGTGTTCCTAAATTATCAAGCAAAGCATCTGCAAACAAACAAATCACTTTGTTATTTAGGTGATTTCACAAGTGTTTCATATTTGATGAAATGTACAGTGCATCCGGAAAGTAATCATAGCGCTTCACCTTTTTCACTTTTTTTTTTTTTTTGTGTTACAGCCTTTTTTTTAAATGGATCATATTTATTAATTTCCTCAAAGTTCTACAGACAATACCCTATAATGACAAAGTGAAAACAGAAATGTGACTGTGTGCAGCTATTTTCAGATCTCTCCAGAAATGTTCTATAAGATTTAGTTCTGGGCTCTGACTGGGCCACTCAAGGACATTCACCGAGTCGTTGTGAAGCCACTTCATTGATATTTTGGTGGTGTGCTATGGGTCATTGTCCTGCTGGAAGATGAACCGTCGTCCCAGTCTGAGGTCAAGATCACTCTGAAGCAGGTTTTCATTCAGGATGTCTCTGTACATTGCTGCATTCATCTTTCTCTCTATCCTGACTAGTCTTCCAGTTCCTGCTGCTGAAAAACATCCCCACAGCATGATGCTGCCACCACCATGCTTCACTGTAGGGATGGCATTAGCCTGGTGATGAGCGGTGTCTGATTTTCTCCAAACATAATGCCTGGCATTCACTCCAAAGAGTTGAATTTTAGTCTCATCAGAGCAGAGAATTTTGTTTCTAATGGTCCGAGAGTCTTTCAGATGCCTTTTAGCAAATTCTAGGTAGGGAGTGGCTTCCATCTGGCCGCTCTACTATACAGGCCTGATTGGGGTATTGCTGCATAGATGGTTGTCCTTCTGTAAGGTTCTGCTCTCTCCACAGAAGAATGCTGGAGCTTAGACACAGTGACCATCGGGTTATTGATCACCTCCCTGACTAAGGCCTTTCTCCCCGATCACTCAGCTTAGATAGCCGGCCTGCACTAGGAAGAGTCCAGGTGGTTCCAAAATCTTCCACTTATGGATGATGGAGGCCACTCTGCTCATTGGAACTTTCAAAGCAGCAGAAATTTTTCTGTAACCTTCCCCAGCCTTGTGCCTCGAGACAATGCTGTCTCAGAGGTCTAAAGACAATTCCTTTGTCTTCATGCTTGGTTTGTGCTTTGACATGCACTGTCAACCCTGGGACCTTATATAGACAGGTGTATGCCTTTTCAAATCATGTCCCATCCACTGAATTTACCACAAGTGAACTCTTCTGAAACATCTCAAGAATTATCAGTGGAAACAGAGTGTACCTGAGCTCAATTTAGAGCTTAACAGCAAAGGCTGTGAATACTTCTGTACATGTGATTTTTCAGGATTTTTTTTTAAAGAAATTTGCAACAATTTTAAAAAAAAAATTCACATTGTCATTATGGGGTTTTGTGTGTAGAATTTTGAGGAAATAAATTAATCCATTTTGAAATAAGGCTGTAACAAAAAAATGTGGAAAAAGTAAAGTGCCATGATTGCTTTCCAGATGCACTGTACATTTTTAATGTTAAAGGGATAGTTCACTCAAAAATACAAATGTACTCACTTACTGTGTTTGTGTTTCTTTATTCTGTTGAACACACAAAAACTAATATTTAGAAGAATGCTGGAAAAAAAGCAGCCATTGACATCTATAGGATGATATTGTTAATGGCTAACGGTTTCCAAAATTCAGTTCAACAGACAAAAAGCAAGTCAAACTGTTGTTTGACGAAGTGGAGGGTGAGTAAATCATGACCGAATTTTCAGTTTTGGGTGAACTATCACTTTAAGTGTCTAAATACAGTGATATTGGGATCACTGCATAGATATCAACACTTTAGATTACAGAACCAAAAAACAGTGGCACTAGCTATGTTTCCATCCACATGTTATGCACATTTTGAGGAAAAAATGAAAAACAGATTCAAATAAGATGCACAAAACACCTTTCAATATTTAATAAAACACTTGTAATAGAATGATGAAGAGATGAATAAACAATGATGGGAATACATTTATCAAATGAGAGTCCATTCCCAATCGTCGACGCAAGATAACATAACATCATTTGTTCAGTCAAATAAAGCTACAGCGGTTTCCCTGGTTGCAGTGACTTACATTGATTATTTATTGCACCAGTTTACAGGGACGTGATTATTTTGTTCTCAACACATGGAATTGAAACAAAGCTTTAATTGCTAATTATATCTGTGGTATTCCATTTTTTCATACAAATTAAAGATAAACTCTACTTTTTCCAGAAATGGGTTCATTTTACTAGTCACCTACGCTGTAAAAAAAAATCTGTAATTTTACGGTTTATTTCCGCAGCTAGTGTGCCGGAAATAAACCCTGTAAAATAACGCCCGTTAAATTACAGAAATTTACCTTAAAATAACAGATATTAAATTACAGAAATTTACCATAAAATAACGGATATTAAATTACAGAAATTTACCAGAAATTTAAATTTAAGGAAATTTCTGTAAACATCCGTTATTTTACTGTAAATTTCTGTAATTTAACGGACGTTATTTTACGTTTTTTGGGGTGCCGGAAATAAGCCGCAAAATTACAGATTTTTTTTTACAGCATAGAGTTAAACAGGTGAGTTCTACCATTTTTGAATTCATTTAGCCGATCTCTGAGTCTGGCAGGAGCGCTCTTAGCTCCACTTAGCATAGATCATGGAATCGGATTAGACTATTATCTTGTTCAAAAATGACCAAAGGGGTTTGACAAATTTCCTATTTAAAGCTTCTGTGGTTACATTGTGTACTAAGACCAAGGGAAAATGATCTAGGCTGATATGTCTACGAACTATACGCTAATTCCGGCATAATAATCAAGGAACTTTGCTGCAGCAGGAGCAATTATATTAGCACCTGAAAATACAATTGTAGTGATCGCTGCAATCGTGGTGATGTGTGAGAGATGATTCAGAACTATTTTCAGATGCTGTGCAAAATCAATGCGCAGGAATATTAGAAAAATGTTATGAACTTTTTTAACTAGATGCTAATGGTCTAATCAGATTAAATGAATTATGCTAAGCTAAGCTAAAAGTTCTCCCTCGAGACCCAAAGATCAGCTGAATGGATTCAAAAATGGCAAAACTCAGCAGTTTAACTGTAGAGGAGTTGTAAAATGAGCCTATTTCCAAAAAAAGTGGAGTGTTCTTTTAGGTTAGGATGGAACCATAGCTAATCCATCATCACGCTACAACACAAAACAACTTCCAGAAAGCTCGAATTCTTTCTCAAGTTTATATTTAACACTTCCTTGATTCTATTTTTGACTACCACAAGAAGTCGTCTCACTTTGTTTTATATTTATGCTCCGCGCCCACTTTCCACCTCTCAGCTCTCTCCGTTTTTATTGTGCAAATCCTGAGTGAAAGTAAACAGCACACAATGACCTCACACACACACACACACATACATACAGAGCTGGAACTCAGTGAACCACAACATGTGAACAAACTCAAAAGCATGGACCACACACACGCACAACACCCTTCAAAACACTAGAGCTTTCTGTTTAGATATGCTTTGCAGCCACTGTGGAAGAGTGTGTCGGAGCGGCTGCGTTTTGTCCAGAGCTGGAAATCAGGGAGCTGGTTCTCCAATTCTGTCTAAAGCAGGAAGGGCTGATTGAGGATGATGAGACAGTGTTTTAGGAGAGAGGAACTGAGAGGAGGAATGGCCAGAGCAGATGCTCTTCATCACACTTTTTCATTTACGAAGACCTGGAAAACACAGACACACAAAGACAAATATTATTGCTCATGGCAGTTAACATCTTTGTGGAGCATATTATGACCCATTTTGACTGGTACAGAACGGTACACCTTTATCATTGCGTTTACACTGCCTAAAGGGTACAAAGGGTACCTTTTGGTGGGCGTGGAGTACGACAAAAAGTTTCAGTCGACATCATTCTCGCTAAGGGAAATGCCTACAGTAAAGCTGTAAGGGTCATTCACATATCATATGAGAAACACTTCTCACAAAACAGATGCTTTAAACACATAAATACTTGTGTATAAATATTTATTACTAACTTTTTATGAACATGATTTGATTATAACTGCAGATCAATGATGTGTGAAAAAGCCTACTGTAACGTCTGTGATTATATATAATAAATAAATAAATAAATGCAACATATATGAACACATACAGAACCTTATAACCGGTTTCCACTGAGTGGTACGGTACGGTTCGGTTTGGTACACTTGTATGGCCGTTTCCTCTGTCAAATGGTGTACCGAACTGAACTGTACTGTACCACTTTTTCGGCACCCTTTCGAAAAGGGTACCAAACACGAGAAAGGGTACCAAAAGGTGAAGCTACAAGCGCAGCTGAACGCTGACTGGTTACAGAGATACGTCACGAGCACGTGTGGAGCTAGCCAAAATGAAAACAAAAGAACCACCATGTTCATACACAGCCAAGAGATTACAGAAAAACTACACGCAGCATATTTAGTCCTTATTTGGGTTCAAATACAACACGCAACATATAGCCCACACTCAGAGCAAACCTCTCATCTGTATCTTTAATCTTCGCCAGCACATATAAACACTGTTAGAGAGTAATTCCGTCATTCTGAGTTCATAATAGTCCAAAAGGGGATGATAAACATGGTAGTTTGTTCATGGTTTAGGCTGCTGAAAGATTCGTTCGTTTCTTTGTTTTTTCGTGTGTTTTGTATTTTCGTGTTTTCTTTTGTCACTCCTGTGTTTGTCCGTTTCTGAAAGGATCAGATGTCAGAAGCACTTCGATAATCACACACACGTTTTTATCAGGGCTTGACATTAACTTTTTTGAACACCTGCCAGTGTGGCTAGTAGTTTTCCAACATTACTAGCCACTCGCCATTTTCACTAGCCACAATTTTGTTGTTGGGAAAATATATTTTTATGCATAAATATGAATTTGACATGCTAAAATGACTTAATTTAGATTTTGTGGTAAGTCCACATGCCTCTTAATTTATTTGACTTTTTGTGTATGTTGTGTATGAGCTTGTTCAGTGAGCATGAGCACATGGGTCATGGTTTCATAGTGTTTTATCACAGTTAGTTTTTATTTCACATGACTTTTCAGAGCTCAAAGGATTTACCAAATTTATCTCTAACCACACTAAAAATAAATAAATAATTAGTTCTTAGCCACAAATTTTAAATAATGTGTCAAAACAAGCAAAATTTAGCTGTATACTATACTTATATTTCTAGTTTAACCTGTACAAAAAAATAGTTTAAACGAAAGCAACCGGTGCTGCTTACAAAAAGACCAATCTCAAGCTCTTGAAACCAACAGGACTGTGGTTGCATGAACAAAACTTTTTGTCAGGTCTATTTGAAAGAGAAACAATCACACCCCTTGCGTTTCCAGGCACGGTTGTTTAAAGAAAGCAAATGCGCGCATGTTTTAACAGTTAGGCCATAAGGTGAACCTAGAAAAAGTGGCTAGAAAATGATTTTCGTTCCCACATCTGGGCACTACTTTTTAAATAAATTTCTGGATAGACAGCACCCTTATGGGTTTTTTTGGTAAAAGTTCTCCTCAAAAAATACTGCAGTTAAGTATCACGCATCACATGCGCTGTTGGCGCAAGTGATTATTCTCTCATTTGGTATTCAACTGGCTTTCTATTGCCAGCACGAACAAAATTTTATTTGTTAGTCATGCTGCTTCTAGATTCTAAGATCGCATTTGCACGAATATTGGGCCATCCTTATTGTTGAACCCTATTTTTAAGAAAACTACAATTAAAAATAAATTTTCAACCAGCCAAAGTGGCTAGTGGAAGGGGCTGTCTAACCCGCCCCAGCTAAAATTTAGCCGCATTTAGCAGGTTGACGGATGTTAATGTAAAGCCCTGGGGCCTCATGTATCAACGCTGCGTACGCACAAAAACTTTGCGTACGCCAGGTTTCACGCTCAGAATCGCTCACGTTTGGATTTACTAACAATGAACTGAACGTGGGAATGTGCGCAGCTTCACGGCAGCTTTCTGGCAGGCGTACGCACATTTTTTGTGTGTGTCTGTTTTATTTCCATTGGCGACTCCTAGAGGTAGTTGTGTTAAATTCCTCTCTACAAAGTGTCTGAGCCTTGCAATGGCAGCTGTATGAGACGGGTTCATCTAGTAGGTATGTAAGGTTTCCATACCATACAGTTGACCAGCCAAACATTAAAGCACAATTTGCAGCAGTCGCCTGTTTTCCCAATGTAATCTGAGCAATCTACTGCACGCACATTGCTATAAAGACACTATCTGAAGATGAATTTGCATGCGTGAATCATAAACATTTCAATTCAATAAATGTGCAAATAAAATATGATGCACAAACTTATTGATGATTCCTACTTGTCTTTCTCATGATAAATAGTGGGCAAAATCTGATATGTAGCGGGGAAAAAAAGAAGAAAGAGTTCATCAGACGCTGGATTCGAGCCGAGTTTATGCTCAAACGTGTCAGTACATGATCACATGCGTCTTACGAGGTGCGCCACTGAGACTGTTAAGGGAACTGCAACATTTTACAGATATAAACCAGACTATTTCTTTTTTTAATGCACCCAGTGCGATGTTCAGACCCAACTGTGTTGACCACATCAGCTAAACTCTCCCACTCTATATTTTTTCTTTTGTTGTTAATTCCGGAGAACAAACTTGCAAATAACACCGCTTTCCTCCGGTCTACCTCCGAAAGCAGCACCTCCATTTCACATTCTGTTCAAAGTTTCTCTTTTTGCTTGATTTTGCCGTTGCTTTTTCGTTGGGTTTTGCCATTAGCATAGTCATTAGCATATTCATACGGGGGAGGAGGCAGGGAGGGGTTTTGTGCTCGTGCATGTTGCGCTCAGTTTCACGTTCATTCGGATGTACAAAATAATATGCGTGAGATTCGGCGTACGCAGTGTTTCATACATCTGAATTTTTTTATGCGTACGCACATTTACAGCTTTGTGCGTACGCAATGTTTTAGTAAGATTTCCATGCAAGTCTTCGTACATGAGGCCCCTGGTTATTATCATCAGCTCAAGAAGTTTGTTATTTCAAATATAGATGAGATTGTGAGCTCCCTGGAGAAAGTAAAGCCGCTCGCTCTTTTAGACGGCCTCGTAAAACAAAAACAGGACACAGCAGATTTAGTTTTTTTTGGCTTTGTGGTTTGCACTTCAAGATGATGACAAGGTTTGTCTGAGCTCGGGTTGACCATGGCTCGTTATAATATGTATATAGTATTAAAATGTAATGTCTCAGATGTGTATTTAAAACATGCCGGTTCTTTTGTTTTCATTCTGCTGCTTGTGTAAGTGCGAGTGACGTATCTCTGTAAACCAATAGCTTTCAGTTTCGCGTCTAGCTCTGCCTTTTGGTACACTTTTGTTGTGCTAGAGACACTTTGCAAAGGGTGCCCAAAAACTGGTATGGTACGGTTCGCTTTTAGGTACCTTTTTACAGTGGAAACGGCCATAACCGTACTGAGAGTTTTACTCAGATCGCATACTGATTTTAGCGTACTTTATTGTATAAAAGTATGCGATTTCGGACGCAGCCACAGTGTCTCAAACTCACAATTGCATGTACACACACACACACACACACACTCTCTTACGCACAAACACAAACTCACACACTTGCACTCACACGCACACATACTCTTACACTCACAAACACAAACACACACACGCACACACACACACGCACACGCGCACACACAAAGTCCCTCTTAACACTTAAACATTAACACAAACAAACAAACTCTCTCCCACTCACACACACTTACACTCATGTTCAAATACTCTCTCTTGCACTCACACACAAACTCTCTCTCATGCTCAAACCCACACACAAACTCACAAGCATGGACACACACACAAACACACACAAAAACTCCCTCTACTCCTTTCTCTTACTCACACACAGACAAACGCACGCACACGCACACATACCCACAGTGTCTCAAACTCACAATTGCATGTACACACACACGCAAGCATGCACGCACGCATGCATGGACGCACACACACAAACACACTCTCACACACAAACACATACTCACACGCCTGCACACTCACACACAGACATGCATGTACTCTCACATTCACAAACACAAACGCGCGCACACATTTCTCCCTCTATTTTACACATACATACACACAGTCTCTCTTAAACATTTTCGCACACTCGCGCACAAACACAAACTCCTTTTCCCACTCACACACACTTACGCACATTCACACTTCTCCCTCTTTTTTACACATACACGCAGACACGAGTGTCTTACACTCACAGATCTCAGTCACAAACGCATATGTACAAAGTCATGCAAACACACACACACGCAAGCACATGCACACGCACACACACACCCACACACACTTCTCCCTCTTTCTTACACATACACGCACAATCTCTCTCATACACATACATACAAGCCTCTCACACACGTTTTCTCATGCATCACACACGCATGTGCACACACTCACACACACACACCTGCTGTGTGATTTATTAATCTCTGAACAGTAGAGTATCTAGAGATAGGACGAGTGCTTCACTCATTTGCCACTAGTCTGATTAAACCGTCATGAAGAATGTCTCAGGGGCAAATCTAATGTGTTTAGCACCTCCATGTGCACATCTTGAAAAAGGGGCTTCTTCTACACACACTCATTACAGATCCTGCATAATTTAAGGCGTATTGAAATCAGGCCAAAACCGCT